GGGCAGGATGATCAGCCGGGAAGCAGAGAAGACAGGATGGAGGAGAGCCGCAGAAGGTCCTGTGAGTGGCAGCAGGCACTCAGAGCACCATCCTCCCACCAGCAGGGGGCGCCCATTTACAATGCGCCACCACCTGGGGTCGCCCTGCTGCCACCCATCCCAAGAATAAGATTGATTTGGCTGCGTTGGTGGCACCTTTGGGGTGCTGACAGACGACTCTGTTTATAGGCACAAGAGGGGGTTAAAAAAAAAAATCATAAAAAACAAAACCTTGCCAGAGCGCAGAGCTGGGGGTCCTGGGTGGGGTGCGGGGGGGTGGGGGGGGGGGTAACTAAATCTGGGATCACTTCCCTTCGCCAGCTTTATCAGGTAACAAGGGGGGAAGCGGAGGTGTCTTTTGCTAATTATTAATTTAAAAGATTTAATCCAGCTCTCGAGAAAAGCGGATGGAGCCTAAATATCGTTAAATTAGATTTCCGCTGAGATATAATAGACCTTAAACGAAGTCTTACTGCTAACGACACAGGGCTACCACCCGGTTATAATTAGCGCGCCATCATTTTGGATTTTTTTTTTCTCTTTTATTTGCAGGTGCTGCTGAACCGTTTTGGGGGAAGTGTTCGGGGGGGGTCCTATTTGAATGAAATGGGGGCGGCAAATTAGGGAAAGGCGCCGGGAAGTGTTTCAAAATCACGCGGGAAGTGGGTTAGACGAGCGAACAGGACTATCTGGGTCTCTAACTTAAGTAACGAGAAACGTAAACGCTGCCGAGAGACAGGCCCCAGCCTGGATGTGTCCACTTGTGGGGGATTAGTCTTGCTGGTTTCGCCTCCTTTCCGTTATGCCTCATTTGCATAGTAACGGCGCCTCCTCTCTGTGATGATGTTTGGCTGCGGTGAGGAATCGGTCCCTCGGAGCGTGGCGCACGGCGGAGCCCGTCACCCTTGCGGGGACGTCGCTTCTTCATCCGCCGCCACCATTAAATCCATCATGGCGCGGGAGAAATGATGAATAAATCAAGTACACGCCGGCAGATGCGAACCGAGTCAAATGCCGACTGAAACATATAACGTAGCGCTCCCTAGCTAAAACGTGATCGCGGCGCTGCACCGGCGGGGAGTGGTTTGAAAATCGGTGTTTTAAAATGGAGGGAAAAGGCAGTCTTTGTGCGTGTGGAGTCTACATCCTCTCCCAGGCTTGTGTGGGTTTCCTTGGGGTACTTTGATGTCCTCTTCCAGGCCAAAGGCACACAGTTAGGTGCTGTCTCTAAATAACTGTGTGCATGTGATTCACTGTGTAAGTGTGAGCCCTGCGATGGACTGACATCCTGTCAAGGCGTGTATACAGGGGTGGGACCACAAGCTGCAACCTGATTGGCTACCAGAGTTCCGATTCAGCCGATTCAAAAACCAATGATAAGGCTAATGATGAGGTTAGCCTCTCTGTTAGAATTGCGGACCCTCTTATGCCCTCCAGAACTCCTTGAGTCACCACTGCGTCTCACCCACCAACTTCCCCTGCTTTGTGCCATGTGCTGCCTGAAAATGGGCCCACCCTCTTCTGGATAAGGAGTTGAAAGATGGAGGGATGACTGGATGGATGGATGGAGGGGTGACTTACATGAAATCATGTCACGCCTAACATAAGACCCCATTGTCCATAATCGCCATTCCCCCATTCCACCTAAGACTCCAATCAACTGAAAATTGTTCTGTGGTCACATGTCTGGTGGCTGGTGTTCTTTCATATGGGAAGTGTAACACACTGAGACTGGGCAACAGAAACGGTGAAAGGTGCACAGAATGCTATTTTACTGCTAGTCAAACAGCTCAAATTTGATCTGAAGAACATTCTCCGAAAGTAAACAGAAGTGTTCCTGGTAAGAAAGCAGCTGCTGTTTTTGCTCTGTGCCTCTTTTACTGTTACTGGGGTCAGAAGATGACATTCTCACCTCCCTAAAACGAGTCTCCACGCCCTGTCCTCCTCCCGCATCCCTTTTGATCCCTAACCACCCTTCAAACCATGTGTTTGCATGGGGCCTCTGATGTCTTGAGGGCCACAAACAGTCACCACACTAAATGTTAAGCGGTCGGCGATTATTTAGGAGACCCTGAAGTAGAATGTTCCGCTGACCAGGTAGCTAGCTGCAATTTTCCAACTCTATCCTTTATTTTGTTTTTCAGACATGGGGGGTTTGAGCAAAGTGACTTTGAGTGGGACCCCAGAAGCAAGAAAACCGCCCAAAACCTCAGAAGTGTCATTATTCCTAGCTTTTCACATGCGTAATATCAGCTACACTTCACAACATTTAGCATTCAAAAGCTAGGATAGCAGGGGCTGCTCTGTCCTGGACATTCAGCGCCAGTAGAACATTAGCAGTACTTCGGTTGGGCAAAACGGCCAGATTTTGGTGTGACTCCCTTGGTCAGGGCAGACCTGAACCTATCCTCCGGTGCCAATTTAACCGACATCACTGTCGTTAGGGTCTTTGTGCTAATGCTAATGTTTTTCCTCCCACATTCTGGCAGACAGTAGCTGGAATTGGTCTTTCGCAATTAGGAAACTGGGCAGTGAGAGTCGACTGGCGGCACTGGGGCCCCATCTGGGCCAAGGCCCCGGCCTCCGCCGTTCGTCCGACGGGCCCCTGCCTTGGATGAAATGCTACAGACCGTTACAGTGAAAACACCGGTTTTAATGAAGGCGTTAGCTGCGGCAGAGCCCGCCTGCTGTCCACAAGGATAAAGAGAATAGCGGATGCCGGTGAGTCATCGTACCCGGTCTGGCCGCACCGACTGAGGAGTATCAGCAAGATCCAGACGCCGGGGACGACTGAGATGAGCTTCTGAAGCGGCCCGGCCATGGCGAGTCTGCTCCCGCTCCTGTAATAGGGTGGGGGGGAGGGGGAACAGAGGTAAACATATACGGGTAAACATTCTGATGCCTAATTAGTGTGTGTTATTGGTAGATTTCCTGTAACAGGACAGAGCTGCGGTGATTTTTAGGATTTTTTTAAGGTAACCATAAGTCAGATGGAGGGATTGACCTTATCATTAGCTAAAGATATGTTTTGAATCAGTGAGTGACAGGGGAGGGGAACTCCAGGGACCAATCAGTGTTCAGCTGGAGCTAGTGCCTCTGTTAGCACTACTGTATATCAACCAGCCAAAAGCGTAAAATGTACCAGCATTGAAAGCCTGCAACCAGCTGAAGGCGAAGAGGGCAGCGGCAGATAGCGGAATATTTAAAAAACAGCCGCTCCCGGTGAACGCTTACGGCGAACTGGAAGCTCGGAAAGGTCGCGACTTCGACCGGGTGAAACCAGAGGAGTAGTTTCAGGGCACGGTCGGTGTTCACGGAGGGACATTAGGTTACATCTCCTTGAACCCATACGAAATAAAGCTGACCTCTTGCAGCGTCCCAGATGAGTCACGGCCAAACCGCAGGCCTTTGTCTTCCGGCTTACAGAAAACACCTCACCCACCGGCGGAATGGTATTACACCGGGAGAGACTCTTCCAATACTACTCCGGCAAAACCTCTTAAACAAAACCCCTTTGACTGGTTGCGGGTAATTTCATAGTGGCCAAAAACACACGATCGTGCCGCAGTGTTTCTGCCGCAGAAACCCTGCTGATGAAGGCTAAACAAAATCAGATAATATCTCTGCCAGCTCTCTCCGTTTTTGCCGTTAAAGGTCATAAGATTAAAAATAAAAGCCGCGGTTCACTGCCGAGTTGTTCCTACTGCGAAATTAAATCCTTCTTGGGCAGTTGTGCTGCTCCCCATGGGACTGGGGAGTCTGGCGTAGGGGCGGGAGGCGGAGGAATGCTGACATAATGCGAGCTTAAGAAGCGTGATAATTTGGCTGGCGCTAACCTGAGAAGCTCCAGGATACCGTGTCTGGCACACCGCAAATCGGCTGTGAACCCCACCATGTCGGCCTCATAATAATCCTGACACAGGATGCACTTTTATTTTTTTTCCCCAGTTGTGCATAATACGGACGAAAGAATCTATATGTCTGATTGGAAGATTTCTGACTTTTCCCCAAACTGAATTATACAGCTTGCAGATTTACCTGTAAATGCAGCTGGATTAGATGGAGGGCTAGACCACTGGATTAGATGGAGGGCTAGACCACTGGATTAGATGGAGGGCTAGACCACTGGATTAGATGGAGGGCTAGACCACTGGATTAAAAACTGGCCCTGGACTTTGGGGTCTCTTATGGCCGCACAGTAAATTTTGTTGAGCGGGGGTAAATCCCCTATGATACCTTTTGTCTGCTGATACATTTCGCCAACGAGTCGAGTGGGGGTGGCCCGCATACCTATTGACCAACTGCGAAAATGTCTGGTTTACCAGGTCACTAGTCTGGCCCAGGTTGAATATTACCGGCAATAATTCAGCTAAGATATCGCAGTGATTCAGTGGGCAGGCCAGCTGCGTACCTCCAGGGTCAGAGGTTTGAATCTATGTGTGGGGAGTTTGTATGCTCTGCCCAAGCGTATGTGGCTGTCTTTTAGTGGGGTTACTCTACGGGTGGCTGGCTCTGTGTATTTAAATTGCCCTTGTATGTGTCCTGTGATATCCTTCTCGGGATAGATTCCCAATTCACCGCTACCTCATACAAGATGAACTACGGAAGAACAAAGAGATGGAATTCGACCACGGATTAATGCTTCGACAGCCGGAATCCACTGGAAAGTCGACTCGCTTCCTCCCAGGCAGTCTCTGTCCATCCACGTGACTGAGACACACACTTAGACAGGCCACGAGTGAGACTGGAAACAGCCACAGCGCCCCTGTTAACATCATCTTCCCGGTAAATAAATAATGTGCACAGAGCAGCGAGAAATCGAGAGGGGGGGGGGCGACTCTTGAGCCCACGTTACGCCACGTCGTGCCCCTTGACGGCACCATCCGCAGGCCGACTTTGTCTATTTTTCAGTGTTCGGGCAGATCGCAGAACTCGCCGGGCCCTCTCCATCTCTGCGGAGAAGCTGTCAGTCGACAGACAGTGCGGGGCCCGAGTCCATTTCTGCGCGGACAGGGGGGAGATGAACGTCTCACTCTGGCAGCTTGATGAACTGTCCGCCATGTACCTTATTTACCTTTGGGCTGTGTGTGTCTGGTGGGGGGGGGGGGGGGGGGGGGGGGGGAGTGCACACCTGACCCTTGTTCCTGGTCATTATGAAACCCAGAATTAAATTTTATGCATTTGATGCTGCCCATTTTGGTTGTGTGTGTTTTGATCCTGGTGCCATGCCAGTACCAGCGCCCCCTGCTGGCATGTTTTATATTCCCCTCCTCATTCACCCCACCATAGGGGAAAAACCCTATAGACCCTATAAAGGGTCGGTAAATCTGTTTGGTCACGGGGGAGAATTTGAGAGAGCTCACACCAGATCATCTCACATTCTCCCAGGAGGGGGGACGTTAGACACGCCCACGCCACACCCCATATGCCGCGGTAACTTGCTGCTGATGTCACAATCGGTATTCGGTTACCATGGTGAAGCATTGCATCACAGTGCATCTCATGGAGAAGTAATTAGGGACCAAGGTGCATGGCTTGCAAACAGATCCAGAATCTCCAGGCTCTTGGGAAGGGGTTTGGGGGGGGGTGTGTGACCTGTCACGAAGCCCCCCTTCCAGTCTGCTCTGGCTTCCACCTTTTAGCGATTCGCTTTAACGGCTTTCATTTTATTAATGAGCCGATATAAAGACTAATTCTGGATCGTTAACCGGGCGAGTCTTTATGCTGGCAATAAAACCCGTGACTCGCCTCCCTCGCCAGGAGGCGGAAAGAGAGAAAAGAAACATTTCTCCTACGCCGTAATATCCGATTGGAGATCAGCATCTCAAATGTCAGGAATCCCCCCACACACACACACACACACACACACACACTTCCCCGATAAGCCAGAGCATGCGGCACGCCTGGACGCCCTGAGAACCTTCACAGACCCACTCAGCCGCGTTAAGAGACTCGCCATCTCTAGGACAAAAGACGGGACTTTAACAAAATGGAGCGTGAACGTAAAGAGGCTTTTCTGAGGACTGTTTTCTTACATACAGATGGCAGGTGCAGATCCACCTACACACACACACACACACAGATTTATAATACATTTCCTGCAGTGACTTATCCCACCTCCACTCCCCCTCCCCCCCCCCACATAAACACTTTCTACATCCTTCCATTTACCTGTTTTCTCTTTCATTTCACCAAAGAGTATATTTCACGATGTTTGTTCCAGAGCATTGAAGCAGTGAGGCCAATCTTTGCAGTAAGAGCAGAAATAATAACAGACTGACTCCTCTGACTCTTCATGAATGTAAGCGCACATGCAACACGTAACACGTAACACGCAACACGCCCAGCACGCGATTATTATCTCTAATGTCTCTCAGGAAAAAGGTCATGTCTCTGAGCCATGTAAGCCAGTGTAGCTGCCTCCTACGAGCTGAAAAATCTTTCCCCAAAAGGCAATTTGCATGTTTGAGATCAGACTAAAAGCGTATGGCTCACAGAACACGGCGGTCCAGCCGCCGGCCGCAGCCGTGAGGCCCAGCAGCTCCGCACGGCGCGTTCGGCTTAGCGAGCACGTGCCCTGCAATGCGACGTCCCAGCGAGAAATTAATTTCCAATTAACACGCCTTCCGCTAACAAGCTTCTGTCGGCGAAGGCAGCCGAGCGTGCGGAATCTGGTGTCGCCAACGGTACTCAGAGTTGCGTGGACGTTACCTCCCTGTACCTCTGGGGCAAACCAGGGTGTCGACCACACGGCAAGCACCCCCGCATTTCCCCACACCCTGACGTGCATGCACGCCTGCACGTCTCCTTCCGTCGCCATTAAAGACAAATCCCATATTGCTGGAAACTCGATTGTTTTGAATTCGGTGAGTAGTCTGTGTGTGACTCAGGAAATCTGCAAACATTAATAAGCTAATAAATATCATTAATAGCTGTCCTGCCCCCCTCCCCCGGGGGCGGCGATTGCTGAGTGGATGTGAGGTATTTTTACACTGCTCGATGATTACACAGCCTGCGCAGTCTAGCCGTGCGTCTTGGCATGTTTTTTTTCCCCATTCAGGACTTCATGCACTGTGTAAATAAAACATCATCTCAAACACAATCAATTATAACCACGTTACTCCGGAGCGAGCTGACCTGAGCGTTTGGAAACTTCAGCAGTTGTGACGTACAGAACAGGACAGCGAGACCTTGAGACAACGAACAGAGCTGCCCAACCCCCCCCCCAACCCCCCTACACTCTGATTTCCCGGCGACAAGAACCTGGCCACGCCTCTGGGGGTAACGGCACGTACGGTGTCGCCCTGTGTCTACGCAGCCGCCGGCCCTGAGAGCGGGGGCCGTCATTAGCCTGACCTGGGGGGCCAGGTTGCTGTGGTGACGGCATGAGCCGCGCAGAGCTGGCCTTCTGGGGAGTCATGTTGCCCCCCCCTGCGGATGCTCGGAACAGGGACTGTCATCGAGACAGGTATTTAGATGCTCCAGTAATGGGGAGGGGGGACAGGCATGTGTGTATGGACCGACTGGAGAGAAGACACCACATTCTCCAGTGTACTGCTGTGTATCTGGTTCTATGTATGCATGTGTGCGTGTCTGTGAGTGTGTGTATATGTGAGTGTGTGTCTGTGAGTGTGTGTATATGTGAGTGTGTGTCTGTGAGTGTGTGTATCTGTGAGTGTGTGTATGTGAGTGTGTGTATATGTGAGTGTGTGTCTGTGAGTGTGTGTATCTGTGAGTGTGTGTATGTGAGTGTGTGTATATGTGCGTGTGTGTCTGTGCACACATACCTCATGTGTTACCACCTAACTGTACATGTCTGCCTGCCCCACCTCAGCCTCACGCCATCAGTCGGGCCCAAAGCTGCTGTCGTCGTGTCCCGCGGGCCGCGCTCAGATCAGATTTGTAAATTCACCTTTACGAAATCGCCTCTCTGAATCAGCCTTTCTTCAGGCAGATGCGCAGATGCCCCCCGCAGCCCGATTCAGGTCATGACTCCTCATGACTCCTCATGGCTCCTCATTCCCCCGCTTCCCCTCATCCGCTTCCACCTGCCTGTGTCTTTCCCGTCATTTCCCGCAAGTGGATAGAGGAGCGCCCCCCCCCTGCATTCCAGAGCACCCGCGGGGATGTTAATAAATTAAAGCAGTTCAGACCGATCCACACTCCGCACACGGGGGGCCGGCAGAAGCAGGAACCGGGAGGAGCAGGAGACAGAGAGAAAACGCCCCCAGAGAAAAAGGCGATGATGTCACACCATGCAGAATTTCCGGCCCTCCTATGGCGAAGTCGGAATGCTTTGGATGAACGAGGGCGGATCGCGTGACTCTTTGGTGATGAAGGTGGGGGGGCGGAGGGGAGGCAGGCAATCCCATTTAAAAGTGTTCAGGTACAATGTTTTACATTCTGAACACGACCTGAACGCCCACAGATTGAATCTGCCCCCCCTCCCTCAAATGCGATCAGCCAGCAACCCGACCTGGTCTCAGAGGGGGGTTTTAACGGTGGCTGGGGGAGGGAGATTAGGAGGCTAGAGTGGGAAGGGATATGGCTTCTGTGTGGTGGGACAAGGGGACCAGTCACTGCTGAACGGGGGGGCCTGCGGGAATTGGGGGCAGGTTAAATGCTAGACGCCTCTCAGGTGAGCTCAAGCTGATGTTGATGGACAATGACGGCCATGTTGGTGCCATACGCTTTCGGGAAGAGGATCCCACAGGATTGTCAAGTTTCCAGGATTTCTGCCATGATCAAAAATGGTAGCAGGTTCACATCCCGGCGGAGCCAACTGTTGTACCATTGACCGCGATGCTTAATCTGGAAGCGACAAAGTGCCAGGCTGTGTGATCTTGGTGCAACCGCTCCCGACACCAAGCCGCTGCGAGTGAGCGCCGCGATCTCGCCGCCGCCCGTCTGTCACGGGTTCCTTCCCACCCCCGTTTTTCATAAAAGCGCCATCAACGCATCTCGCCAATGCCTTGTCACCACAAAGCAGGGGGGGGGGGGGGGCTTGGGGGGGGGACAGAGGAATTAACACCCGGGGGGGGGGGGGGGGGGGGTGATGGAATCAGTCATCTGCCACGCGTGTCACTTTGCGTTGGCGCGACGCTAAATACCGCGGGCGCTGTGCAGACGAGCGGCCGTCACCGCAGGACGCCGTCCCCCCGTCTTCCGCGACGCCCTGAGTCCGTCTGACTCCGCGATGTCCCTCGTCCGGATGCTCCCATGCCCCTGTCCGAGCCCTGAGTCATCAGCGACCCCGGCGGCCGCTTCCGTCGCCGATGATGCGCTCCTCCAGTCTGCGCCGGGGAAGATAATTGTAGATCTTAGAAGACGCAGAGGCACACAGATTGAGACGCTTCTTTCCGGAGCAGAAATGGCAGAAAAGACAAGGTTCGGAGTCGTGGGGAGGGGATCCGAATGCCATTCTCTGGGAAGCTTCTCCACCACAGAGCCGGGTCGGCACAGATTCCGCTGGGAGGGGCTCTACCGGCAGACACGCAGACTGAACTCAGCCCCCCCCCCCCCACCCAGGATACGAATACGGTGACATTCCCAATCCCGAAAACTGGGAGGGGCAGACAGTACCCCTCACTACCTCTTCCTGGAGTCCAGCTCCTGAGCAAGAAGCTCGAGGCCACCCCCCCCTCCATTCAAATATCCCCCCCCCAAGTTTATCTCCCGACAGACGTCTCTCTAATCATGACTCACGGGCAGAGGCAGACAGAGCGCACCGTTGGGCAGACGTGCCCGGACCCACGGACCCCAATGGGCGTGGCCGGTCCAGGTCACAGAAAGAAGGCTCCGTAACTCCCTCTCCCTTGAGTTGTCATTTGGCAATTCCCCCCCCCACCCCACTACCTGGGTTAACACTCCACGTAAGTCAGCCTAAGAGGCTGTATTTAACAGGAATGGCCCCAAAGGGCCACAGTGTCCCTCTCTGAGTGACCGGGACCTGCTGGCTCATAAAGGCATGCTGGACACAGGCGATTTCGGAGACACGCCCTTAAAGGACACGGTTTCCACAGAGCCAACCTGCCCCCCCCCCCCCCCCATCCCAATGCTGCGGTGGCGGACCGTGAAAAAAAAGGGCGTCGTCGACCAAAAGGACATCCTGTCAGCAGAGTGAGTGGACGACGTGGTCAGCGAGTCACCAGCATGATCCAGACACATGCGTTTAGGGGGGGGGAGTGGTCCGCAGGCAGTGTAGGGCAGGGGCTCTGTACATCCACAGCCAGAGGCCCTCACCCCTAGGCACAAAGCTGCACCCAGAGAGCTGATGTGCCCAGGGGTGTCAAAAAAAAGAAGATATTAAAATCGGGTATGACTAACGTGAGCCCTAGGAGGAAACACATCTCTCCCCATCCCGTCGACACGTGACAGACTTGGGAGCTCCAACAAGCTTCTGGACTTCATCTCCAACGACAAGAGCTACAGTACGAAATAAGTTAATCGCATTAACGTCTCCTGTACTTGGGAATAAAAGACAATAGTTTGCCCTTTTTCAGCTGCGACGCTCACACGCGAGATCTGCATCTCATCCCGCGGGCACAGCCAGCCCGGGGGCGTTAACAGCGAGTCCACGCCTTGTTTGCCTTATCTGCGGGTTACAGGTGACAGGGGACCATTCGCGAGCTCCTGCCACCCTCCCTGCGGGAAATGAGACCTCCCATACCTCGGCGGGGCTTCGGGCGAATGGAGAGATCTCGTCGTGCTGATTTTCGGTGAATTATTCACAGGTATCTCCCGCTTAATTACCTCCAGGCTGCATTTCAGTTTTGCTTTTCCGGGAAATTGCTTTACAGTCTTGCACTCGCAAGTACACTCTCAGACGTTTACAATCATATTCGGCATGTTGTCTTCCAGTTTCCATCCCCTTGGGATGTTTACACGCAGATAAATACCTTATACGCTTTTAAAAGAGCTGCATTAATTTCACGTGCCCCACCGTTTCATTGCAAACCCCACATTTCCATGAATTTGTTAAATATTGAAAACTTTTATTGTCATCTTAATAAGTAAGCAGGCAAATACAGCCGGGAGATAATTTTTTCCCTTTCTATCCTTAGGTATATAAATAAATGGACTATAAGGAAGGATTGCCGTGCAATGAAAGCTGTTGATTTGAACGGCGTTTGCATGCGAACTAACATACATGCCTGCTAACGCGGCTGTATGTATACAACACCCACAATAAGACAGTATGACACAGAGAAAGCCTTAAGATGTGCAGGAAATTGTGCGTTTTTGAGCGTCAGTAACTGAAGGGGATGCATTCAGACAGTATCTAACATGAAACGGCAACGCAGCACATGAGAAAGGTATAGACATACATTATATGCACATGTAAGCGTGGCTGCTCATCTCCCTGAATCACAACTGGGCATTTTAGCTGTATTGTGCCTCTTTCAAACATATGGTTGTCAAATATCCCTTTACATCGGCATCAGTCGTATAGCATACATATTAACCAATTCCTGCACGGTGTCCTGTGGGATCCGAAGTTCATCTGTGACATTCAACATATTGCGGAATTACTGCATCTCACAGACCGCCTAAAAGTACGCAATTTGCACTGATCACAAACGAGATGAACAAGTTTGCAGGGTTTCTGCCAAGGTGATCTTGTTGCAGTATTCAAAGCGTTCAAAGCACACTTTAACCATTTTTTTGTCGGTGACAGGTAAAGTGTCGCCCAGCTCTGTACTGCCGAAAAAGTGAACGGAAACAGGCACGTTCGTTTCACGTTTGCTCTTTAAATCCACCGGCTAGTGTCGCATTGCCAAACGCATGATAGGACGCGTCCTAAAAACGGGCACATCGGACAGGTGACTCCCGATCCCCGGCTGCAAAATACCACAAACTGGCCGCGGTGGCACAGATCCGGAGCCTTTTTACACGCATCCCCACCGGATGTCACTACGTGTCCCCCCGGCATCACCCAGCACAAGCCCCCCAGCATCGTCCCCTGCGCTTCTGTAGCGGAGAAACCTGTTAAACCTGCAAACATTTCACAAGCAGCACGGAAACAGACGGCAGGCTGCTGCTCAATGAAAGCATGTACTTCATCACGATGCCATTACTTTACCTGGGGGGGAAGGAAAAAAAACCCTGCCCGTATAACCAGCGTTATCACTACAGTATGTGTTTTGTGACAGAGCACGACACGACAAATCGCCGCTCATATCTATAGCAACCATGCAGGAAGATATAAAAAAACATATATTCTCACCAGGAAAAAAAAACAGAATCCCCCGGTTTTTGCCGTTTTATTCTTCCCGGGATCTCTTGTTTCAGTGCCTGTCTGGCGCAGCGTGTTTTCCTGTCGCGTCCAACTAGTTTTCCCAGCAATTCTTATTTGTCCGGAGGATTTTGAAGTGTTTGCTAAAGATGCTGAAATGAGGGGGGGGGGGGGGGGGGAGGACGCGCCGTTATCACGGAGAGCCTGCCCCCTTCGAAGTAACCCTCCCGCCCCCCTCCCAACCTCCCTCCATCCATCCCTCCCTCCCGTGACTGGAGGAGGGTTTAAAACCCCGCCGCCCGGGACCGCAGTCGCAAGGGGAGCGGCGGGGATGCGTCCTCAGAGTCCCGCTGCTCTTACATTTGTCCCTGGTGTCTTTATCCCTGTTCCCTGGGAGCCCTTAGTTGTGGGAGGGGGGCGTTTAACACGTGTTTTCTGGCAGAAATAGCGCAGCAAGTGTCAACGTATTAGACAACGGATTTATTTAATTAACACGCCAGGACATTTATCACACCCTCGATTGGCGCGTCACCTAGCATATTTAACGCGTTAAAGCAGAATAGAGTGTGATCGTCTTTGTCATTTGGTTGCCACATTTATAAATGGCAATTAGAAGTAACTTATCAAAGGCCCAAAAAAGTATTAAGAAAGCTAAAGAAAGGGTAAAAATCGATAAAACAAGAAACCACAAATAACAAAACCACAACAATTCCCGCAGAAGGTTATAAAAACGAAAAATTAGTTTGCACTGTATTGTGACAGGCAATATAAAGCATGGTAATAAACAACTATGGCTGTTTACCAGTGATTTATTTAAGAAGAAGACAACTCCCTTTTCAGCCCAAATAACGGTCATTCGCCAACAATTTCACCAATATTTCATTCAGGATCTTATTACACTTAAATGTCATTGGTGGGTAGGCTAACACACTGGATTAGAAAGTGGTTAAAATTTCAAGGAAACTTGTCCAAGATTTAACCTGGGCTGTTCTGTATATCCTGCTGTATGGAAGGGTTGCGTGCATGTGTCACTATGGATAAATGCATCATTCAGGCAGGTAATGGATTAAGACAGGGCGGTGTCATCTTACCCTGGACCTCTTTCTGGATCCTTACATGGGGACTTTAATTTCTGCAGGGCAGGCATACCACGGTTTGTAATAACGTTTTTGTGATGCTCCGTTTCAAAGCGACTTAGTTTTTACGGATTTACACAGAGGGGTCCTGGATCCATGAGCTGGCCTGGTCCAGCCTGCTGAGGTCCTGAATTGGATTGATAGCCCTCCGTCTTCTCTAGAGCGGCTCGACACTCTGCACCTTCAGAACGAACTTGCTACGGGGCACCTCTGGATTCTCAAGAGACGCTGCTGTAAGTAAGGAGCTGAGGCCAAGCCGGATCCTGACTGAGGGCGGGAATCTACTTTAGAAGACATACTGAGCCAGTCACCTCGCTCTGATAGGATAACAGCGTGTCTCCCTGTGTCTGAGATCTGCAGTTTATCCTGCACATGAGGACCGGCTATGCTGGTGTTTACAGAGACTTTGTCACTTTGCAAGTTTAAACTATCATAATTACTTTTCAGATCCTGTCTCTGAAATCGATTTAGGTTCCTAACCAGGGGCAACGGGGGGGGGGGGGGGGGGGGGGGGTACCATACGCCACCTCCTGGACACCCGCAGAGCACCACCACGCTCAGAGGAGTCTTTGGGTGGCAGCACCCAGACTGGAGGTGGGCAACTTCTGGCAGGAATGCTGACCCCCCAACCCAGGTCGTGGTTGGATGGAACCCTGCAGATTTCACCGGATGCTTTCAAATTAGTGCCGGAAAGAGCAGGTTGGACGTTTTACCGTCAAAGGCATGGCTTTAGGAGAGAATGGAGGGAAGACAACAAACCGGGAATGACTTGTTGGCAAGAGCTAGAAAATGACACGTCGGTAAGAGAGTCCGAAGGGGCTAACTCCCCCTGCAGGTGAGTCAAGAGGTTGCGGACAGAGACATCGGAGCTGGTGAGCAGAATAAAAATGATCACTCGTCTCTCAGGCAGACGGGAGGCTGCGGAGAGCTCGCGGAGCCAGCCGATGAGTCAGCACAGTGCCAGGGCCGACCAGGAGCCCGGTTCGGCTCGGCCCGGGTGGGGTGCAGCCGGTGGCAGCAACGGCACAGGCGGTGCGTAATGAGAAAGTTCAGTCGAGCGCCGCATATCGTGCCAGATACGCTGCCGACCGCGGACGCGATGGGGGCAGCCGTCGCTCTGAAGGCCAGGAATGTGAGGCGGCATTCCAGCTTTTGCCACAATGAATCCGAGGTAGTCTGTTCGCTGATGGAAACAGACGCCGGAAAATGCTCTTTTTTTTTGGGTGATGCGATGTGATCAAAATGGCGTCCCTGTTGGCCTGACGCTGGCCAGTTACTACAGCATCAGAAATGGACGGGGAGGCCACTAAATAGACGGGGGAAGCGGACGGTAATGGCAGAATCCAGTCACTTGTAGCATTTTGATTATTTTTCTCTTTATTGTCGTTCAGGGTTGTTTCTTTGATTGGATATTTAATTCTAAACCCAGTCTGTCATCCAAATCTCACAGGATGTCAGCCAAATTTTATCGTGGGTCTCCCCCCTCCCCTCCCCCCCACTTGGCGATTCGACGTGGAAACCCCACCTTTTTTTTTGGCTCACTATTTCCATGTTTCCATTTGTTATTCTTTTAACCACCCACCTTCCTCTTTCCTTTGCTGCTAGGTTGACGTATGACGTATTCTGAAGGCTGCTGATGGTTTTCCTGGCCGTCTCTTGACTCCTCTCCACAACAGCTAGTTCCTTGACCTCCATAGAAGTGTGCCCCCCCCCCCCCTTCCCCCCAGCACAGCACACTGGAGCCCAATGCACACAATTGTGTAGTCATGCGCTCACACACACTGTGTGCATGTTCAGTCTGCACCGCAAACAGCTCCGGGGCAAATGAGTGCTAGCCGGTAGCTGTCACGCTTTTTCCCCCACAATGCCTTGCAAACACCGAAAAAAGGCTAAAGGGTTGTGACCGATTTCAGCAGGAAGAACTTGGTGTTTCTGATATGAACACAGCATTTTAAAATCATAAATATCAAATATTTCATGCTTCTTCTTATGGGAGTTAAATTTGCTCATAGGAGTTTTACTTGCACAAAAATATTCAGAGGGCAGAACAAAAAAAAAATGATTGTCTATCTCTTTGAACAAATCAGATTGTAGAGGAGGTGGGTCCAAGCAACTAGAGGGGGCAGGACCAACCAATCAGATGGCTTGGCTCCACCTCCTCTAGTTGCTTGGACTGGCCTCCTCTACAATCTCATTGGTTATATCGCAATTATTTTTCGTGCTGCCCTCAGAACATTTCTGTGTAAGTAAAACTCCCATGAGTGTTAAATTCAGGAGAGGGGACATTATGCTATTTCAAATGCAATATAAAAATTCAGCCAGATATTATACATCCATACATTATCCCACTTGGAGCCTATCCCAGAAGACTTTGGGATACCCTAGATGGCATATCAGAGATATGGGACATACACCTGTGTGTACTTTAAAATTAGGTGAAAACCTTGTTGAAACACACTTGGTATCAAACCCTGGGAGCCACCAGTAGAAGCGACTTGAACCTGTCAGTCGTCTTCTTTGGCGTGTGATTCGTGGAACAAAGACAGGCCCGCCCATAGACCTAAGGACCAATCACATGTTGACCCTTAGGCCTACAAGGCATGACCTCCAAAAGCTCACAGAGAGGTGACCTTACAGGCAGCTGTCGCCCGTCGGGATCCCGGCAGCCCCCCTTGCCATCACGCCGCATAAGCTTAACGCCACTATTCCGTTTCATTTGTTAAGGCGTAAAACTGAAACTTTTCTAAGGACAAAGGGGTATTCCAGGCGGCTACAATAACCGCAAGGTTAATCTCCGGGGCTCGAGGTGTTACTCAGCAGCTCTTTGCACAGAGAGTCAATTTGTCTTTCTACTTGTTTGAGGTAATTGAATCCAGATCTTCCGCTGAACCCGCTGCTCCGTTTGAAGGCAGCGCGGTGACTGGAGGCCGCCTGTAAGCATTAAATCGTCTCCGTTTCATATGTGTAGCTGTCTCCCGGCCTGAGTTAACACCGTACGCCACAGCATCCTGTCCCATTACCAACAGAGATGGGAGTCTCTCTCATTCCTCTAGGCCTTTATTCAGCAGTGTGAAGCTCATAAACCTTCCTTGGGGAAACATATCTGGACTTTTCCTTATAGATGGAGCCATTTCTTTTCCATTCCGTTGATTATCGAGACTGACCGCCGACAATCCGGAGGGAAAGTGATTAAGGCTGAACCTCTCATATGGGACCTTTAAGTCCTTTAAAAGCCATGAGGCACCACAGTGTAGCTTCTACATTCTGCAGGCAACACATCTCCACCTGCCTCTGTCCGAGTCGAACCCCTAGTCATCAGCCTCCACCGCAGAGTGCCGATGCGCTCCACCCTGAACTCCACGCCCACATCAAGAACATCCACCCTGCTGTAGAGAAACCCCCTTTACGGCAGCAACTCACAAAATGTTCTGCTAGCTACCAGGATCCCCATCGTCTTTTATTGTCCATGTGAATTGGGACTTTGCCGTCTCGACTCATTAGACTCCCCCTGCCTCCGCCTGGAGGATGGGTTCCCCCTTTGGGTCTGGTTCCTCCCAAGACTTCTTCCTTCTAGGGCAGGGGTGTCAAACTCCAGTCCTGGGGGGGGGGGTGCGGAGCCCTGTGTAGCTTAGTTCCTTCCCTGTTCCACCACAAACGACTCATCTCAAGAGCTGTGTGGTAATTAGTGCAAGGAGTTGAATCAGGTGTGTTAAATGAAGGGAACCCCAAAAATGTGCAGGGCTCCGGCCCCCCCAGGACTGCAGCTTGACACCCCTGTTCTAGGGAGTTTCTCCTTGCCACTGTTGCCTCTGGCTTGCTCACTGGGAGCTTTGGGCTGGGATAATGTAAGGCACTTTGAGACAATGTAATGTTGTGAAAATGCGCTATACAAATAAAAATTACTTGAACTGAAGTTTAATATTATTATTATTAACAACAATAATAACAACAAAAACAATCAGTACATATTGTTCATTTGTAGTACATATTTTTTAGTTGTGTACATTTGCTTA